TGCTTGCTCCGCTGGGCGGGCTGGCTGCGGCCGGGGCTCACGGGCCTCACTCAGGCGGTGGTGGCCCCGGAGGGGGCGGTGGCGCCGGCGGCGGCAGCGGCGGCCCGGGAGCCGGCGCCGCAGCTGAGGAGATCAACACCAAAGAGGTGGCCCAGCGCATCACCGCCGAGCTGAAGCGCTACAGCATCCCGCAGGCCATCTTCGCGCAGCGCATCCTATGCCGCTCGCAGGGCACGCTCTCCGACCTGCTGCGCAACCCGAAGCCCTGGAGCAAGCTCAAATCCGGCCGGGAGACCTTCCGCAGGATGTGGAAGTGGCTACAGGAGCCCGAGTTCCAGCGCATGTCGGCGCTGCGCCTGGCAGGTAGGGACGAGGGCCCCAGAGGCTCGACCCTGGGGGACATCGTTGGCACAGGATGAGGGATCCTGCTAGTACGTCCTGGTAGCCTCAGAGGGGGATTCTCTAGTCTCTGAGGCGGACCCAAGTCTACATCGCCGAGTGTCGCTAATAGAGAGAGAGTAATTGAAATTATTGCCGCCTTCTCAGTTCTTTTAGGGACTGTGTAGGGTGTCTAGTGTCTTTGAGGCTGACGTAGACATAGGGTGCTAAACTAAAACAGCCCTCGCGTGGCTCCGTGTGCGTGCTTGTATGCGCTCGTGTGTAGCACGTTCCTTGGGTTCATGATTCCCCAGGATCGGAGGTGCCACTCCCCTCGTCCCCAAACATCCTGCAAAGAGGGACCAACGGCGCCCTCTCTGCACCCAGTCACAAAGCTCCAGGTGCTGACTAGACTCAGCCAAGGCCTGGCCACCGCTCTGCCCCCAGCCTCAGCACCACCGAGCTCTCTTCCTATGCAGCTCAGCCTGTGCTGACGATCGATCTGCTAGTCCCCCATCCCTCCCCCCTCTGGCCGTAGGCAAAGGTCATTTGAGATTGGGGGAGGGGCGGCCCTTGGGACCCTGAGCTCAGAGGCATCCACCAGAGGCCTTCACACCCCCGGCGGCTCCCAGGTCCTCACCCCATCCTGTTTTCCTTGCACCCTTTCTACTTCTCTCCGCGGGGACAAATTGCTGTCCCTGTCTTCGGGCTGCCTCTTCTGTACTCAGTCCTATCTCTCTTTATTCTTTTCTTCCCTCGCGTCTTGCCTGAGTCTCTCTCTCTCCCACACACAGGCATATGAGCCAGCCCCCGGGGGACCCGTTGTCTGCTCCTTTGGTCTAACCTGTCCCCTCCCACCCCAGCGAGGAGTGTGGGGGTGTAACATAGACCCTACATCTTCCGTGTTTGGGAAGGGGGTGTCAGGAGGTCGGTGGTCTAGGCAGAGCGTTTGTCTATGGTGTGGTGGGGAGGGGGCTGTACACCCCGTTCCAGGGACAATAGCGGTTTCCAGAGCATCATCGATCCCTCTGCATACAAACACAGAGAGGGGCGGGGCAACTAGAACTCAAGAGAGGCGCCCCCAAGGCCGGAGCTGAGCACTGGGTTGACTGTACCCCCAGGCCACCCTGCAGGCGCGTGTGGGGTGCAGAGAAGCAGGGGGCACTGGGCGTAGCGGATAGGTAGAAGTAGGCTTGGTTGGAACCTGTGCTCTATCTGTAGCTCCAAGGCCGCTGTGCAGCCCGGCACTCACAGACCTACCTCAGTTTCCCTTCTCTAGAGTCTTCAATGGGATGGCTCAGTGACAAGACATAGCCTGTCTTTGGGATGTTTTGTGTCACGAATTCCTGGGGGCAAGTGGCACTGGAGGACATTAGGATAAATACACACAGGTTTTTATCTGAAGGGTCCTGTTGCTGGTGACAGAGACAAGGAAATCTGTCCCAGAACGCAGCTCCTCTCTTGTGCTGCACATGATTGTCCTCTGGTAGTGTTGCCAGGGGTCCACTGTCTCCAAGGGGCTCTTGTGTTCTGTGGATTCTAAGACCCCCCCTCCTGTACATACATCCATTGTATACCCAACCCCGGGCCACTCGCCACTCCTAGCACCTGTGGGAGTGCTGTTTCAATTGCTCTCCTGTGGACACAGAAGGCAGACACACCACACAACTGCTGGGCATCATGGTCCCAGATTCTGCAAGGCCACCAGCCCTCTGTGTCCCACCTAAGCAATCAGTCACTCCATCACTCCACGGAAGCTGGGGACAGACTGGCTCCTTGTCTTGCGAAGTTCTGGTGACCAGTGTCTTCCCCTAGGACTGTGTCACAGGATTAGAAGTGTGGTCACTTCAGGGGAGTACAGAAGCTGGGACCCAGGCAACACAGAATATGGTTAAAATTGAGATACCTGGTGTGTTCCAGGTCAGCCTTGGGGTCCAAGCTGTCACATTGTGACCTAACACTCCAGGCTCTTCTCTGTCTTCATCTTCGGACTCCACTGGAGTCAGGAGTGGCAGCCGGGGTCATTAGGCTCAAGCCAGCCGGTTAGTTCTGGTCCTCGCACAAATGAAAAGCAGTTAAGTGGCGGTAAATTGTGACATTTAGAGGATGCTGGGGCGGCCAGGCGGGACTCTTCAACATACTGTGTCTCGATGGCAGCTGAAGGTGTCAAACCTGGGCCTCACTCCTCACTCTTGTGTCCCCGAACCACTGGGGACAAAATTGGACCTTGCCTTCTATGAATCCAGGAGGGAAACTGTCCACCCAAGTCACAGCCTCATGGGAAAACATTGTCCCCAGTGCCACCAACCCTAGAATGTCCTGCAAAACAGAACCAGTGAGAGAAAGGGACAATGTAGGGATATAGGGAGAAGACAGACAGACAGACAGACAGACAGACAGACA